CGACACACGTTCACTCAGTAATAAGCCGTGTTGACCCCCTCCATCACCACCCCTCACCCCCACCCATTCCCTTCCCCTTCCACCCCCTTTATCGTCGTTATGGACCACGCCAACATCACTCATATTTTAACAAGGCCTATCTGTCTGTTTCTGCCTGAATAACAATAATAATAATAATAATAATAATAATAATAATAATATGTGTATATATAAATAATAATAATAGTGCGTTCGTCTCTTTGCGCTTTGTTTACTTTTTTTTGTAAATATTATGGTTATCGATACTGAAAACGTAAAAAAATATGAGGGATAACTATTGAAAAACGCTCAGCTGTCTTGGGTGGTGTGTGTGTGTGTGTGTGTGTGTGTGTGTGTGTGTGTGTGTGTGTGTGTGTGTGTGTGTGTGTGTGTGTGTGTGTGTGTGTGTGTGTCTGTGTGTGGCATGTGTGTGTGTGTGTGTGTGTCTGTGTGTGTGTGTGTGTGTGTGTGTGTGTGTGTGTGTGTGTGTGTGTGTGTGTGTGTGTGTGTGTGTGTGTGTGTGTGTGTGTGTGTGTGTGTGTGTGTGTGTGTGTGTGTGTGTGTGTGTGTGTGTGTGTGTGTGTGTGCGTGTGTGTGTGTGTGTGTGTGTGTGTGTGTGTGTGCGCGTGTGTGTGGCGGGGAGAGGGGAGAGATATATTACTGTTCCAGGATAACAACCCAATTACTACCGCTTTCTAATGAATTACAAGTTGTATGGTAATTGACTCATTATCTCGTGACGTCACAGATAAACGAGTGGGTATTGGAAGACAAAATAATGGTTTATTAATCTCGAAAATTACTTGTTATTTTTCTCTCTCATAAATTTCGAGAATATATATATTTTCTCTCTGTGATTAATTTGACACCAAAAGTTCCTTCCCTACGGTAGGTTAGGTTAGGTTAGGTTAGGTTAGGTTAGGTTAGGTTAGGTTAGGTTAGGTTAGGGTTTATATATATGTACCGGTATATAAAGAAGACAAAAAGTGAAGGTTTTCCGCGCTAACTACATACAGTTTTTTTCCTTTCTCCCGGCCAGACACTTGAGGGAGCCTCTCGTCTCTCCATATCGAGTTTTTGCCCCAAGACTCTTCCCCCGATCCAATTTTTTTCCCTGGGTACACCTCACCTTCCTCCTCCTCTTCCTCCCTACATCACCCCCCCCCCTCCCTCCTCCCCCACCATCCTTCCCATCTTCTCCTCCTCCCACCATCACCCCCTCCCTCCTCCCCTCATCATACCCCCATGTCCTCCTCCTCCCCTCCCCCCCCCTCCCTCCTCCCCTACATACCCCCACATCTTCCTCTCCTCCCCTCATCATCTCCCCCACCCCCTGGCCAGAACCCCCATCAGCTTCTCCTTCTCACCACCACAACCCTAAAAATAAATGGTTCACACACACACACACACACACACACACACACACACACACACACACACACACACACACACTGGGGTGTTGACTCGGCGTCTCTGGAGCACCAAACACACCAGCATCGTGATTTATGAATAGGAATCTGTGTCTTGGTGAGACAGAAGGACAGATAGTGAACTGGAAGACAAAATCTAACACATACAGACCCAGATTCTGATCCTTTATACCTAACCTAACCTAACCTAACCTAACCTAACCTAACCTAACCTAACCTAACCTAACCTAACCTAACTTAACTTAACCTAACCTCCCTAGAATAAAAACATCAGAGGTTCGAGTCAGGTGACAACCAATCAACCAGACATTCTCGCTCTAGTGAGTGTTTAATACGTTTATGTATACTCTATCCTTAACAAAGTGTGGCGGGGGTGAGGCAGTGAAGTGTGCATAATAGTATAAAAGGTTGAATCTTTTTTATGCTGCGGGGATATAACACGACAAAGTGCTCCAGTGGTGTGAGGAGAGAACACAACAATAAAAACAGGAGATACGGACAGCAAGGACAACAAGGACATCAAGGACGGAAAGGAATGTAAGGACAGCAAGAACGGTAAGAACAACAAGGACGGTAAGGACAGAAAGGACGGTAAGGACAGCAAGGATAGCAAAGACGTTAAGAACAACAAGGACGGCAAGGACGGTAAGGACAGCAAGGACGTGCCACAGGATGTACAGTATACAGTGTGTTGGGGGGGGGGAGGTGACTGTACACAAGAGGACGTTGGTCATGTGGTGAGTGAGAGTGATCATGTGACACTATGGGAGGAGGTATCATCACACTGGTGAGAGGTGAGAGTGGAGAGAAAGTGAGGTGAAAGTGAGGAAGTGAGAGAGAGAGAGAGAGAGAGACACCAGCTGACAGCCTGACGGGGAAGTAAAGTGAGATACCTGACAGATGAGAGACAATGAAGGTCAGGTCAAGTTTATCACCGACCACCTGCCTCTACGCACGCACGCACGCACGCACGAACTACCGGAATCTTTAAGCAGTCTCCGGTATAATTTCTCTGTTAACAATTTGTAATCTAAACCGAATGTATCCGGTATGTGGCTTATTGTGACTGTTTATTCGGCCAGAAGATGGAGCCTTCAGTCTTGTTCTCCGCAGTGAAACCTCTATTTAACGGACTATGGAGAAGAAAATCCGTTATATCCAGAGTCCGTTAGATCTAAGACTTCCATCTATAGAGATAACAATCCATTAAATAAAGGTTCAACGATATTATTAGAAATTAACGTATTTAACTCACTCTGTTAGTTACAATATTTTAACAGTAAAAAATAAATAAAAAACTTAGAGAAAACATTTAATTAGTTTTCATAAATGGGGGGATTTATTTCATCATTAACACAAGATGTTTACTAAAATTAAAACAGTTTTGAGAAATATTTATAATTAGTGATAAAAAATATACATAGACTGGACTTAATATTCAGAAGCAAATAAAAATAAAGTTAAAAAAAAAACAATTGGGAAAATTTTATGGGAAATGGAAAATTAATGTGTTTACCAGTCGAGTTGTTCAGGTGGGAAAAAAGGAGAAAACGAGAAAAAATCGGACACCATTTCTAAGAGGATGGGAGTAATTAGTGACTCATAAAGGCTGAACTTATTTTCGGAATCATTAGCTCGACTAATTAACAGAATTATAAGTTTCTTGAACCCAGATCCATAATCAGGGAGTTAGGGAGAGTAGTTACCTTGGTAATGATTTTGTACGATATTACTGTTTTGAAAAGGATGATAAAATGACGAGGGTGTGACTGTAGAGTTTGTTAAAGTGTGTGTGTGTGTGTGTGTGTGTGTGTGTGTGTGTGTGTGTGTGTGTGTGTGTGTGTGTGTGTGTGTGTGTGTGTGTGTGTGTGTGTGTGTGGTAGCAGTAGTAGAAGTGTTGTCTTTAGAAAAACAATATTCCCACAACACAACGCATCAACACAACACAACACAACGCATCAACACAACACAACACAACACATCAACACGACACACTGTACAAGTCAAGGTACCCATTTACAGCAGGGTGGACTTGGGGTTACCGTGTTAGATGCGAATTAGTGATCTATAAGACACAAGGTGATTGTTGTATCCATTCAGCCACTGTATCCCAGCAAAAGCCCACAGGGGGACATTATCTGACCTTTACTGCGAGGGATTAAAACACACTAGACGCCACAATCTGTATTATCATATTCTCTTGGTTATACTTCAGAGAACCTTGAAAGATATTTCTTTTGGGGGGAGGAAAAAGAGTGAGACAGAGAGTAAGAGTGGGGTGGAGTGGGGTGTGGGGAGTGGGGTGTGGGGGGTAGGGTCCATGACAGTCTTCCTCTCTCTCTCTCTATCCAATTTTTTGGGTGGTGGGGCTTCTCCGTCCTCCTCGTCCACTCTCCCTCCTCTCACACAACACAGAGTGAGAGGAGGGGAAAAATGTAATACAAAAAAATAGTTACCTTCTTGGCGCCAAGGAGGGATGAGTGAGGGGAAAAAGGTCGAGAAGAACCGAGGGTGAGTAAGAGGGGTGAGTGATGGGGATTGACGGTGAGGGAGAGTAAGAAGGGTGAGGTAATGGGGGGTGGGGGAGACTGGGTGAAGGTGAGACGGCTGAGAGAGATGGAAGGGTAGTGGTGAAAGGGGTAACTAACTGAGAGTGGTCGAGAGGGAGTGGGAGGGGGAGTAAGAGGGGCTGTAAGATAACACAATGTACAATAACGCAAAGGAACAACGAAACAGGAGTTTAAAACCACCCATTAATAGACGATAAGATGACTAAACAAACACTATCCAGTACTACCACACGGTGACGTTAGTGTAAGTTGATTTACACCGTCTGGGATAATGAACTAGTATATACACGAACACCCCACTGTTCCTCCTGGGTTATGAAGACACTAAGCCGCCCAAACACCCGAACAAGCTAGTAAACTGACGAGTGATAAAAAAAAATCATAAATAAAAAAGTTTCCCTCGATATATCACTCTATCCATTTTCTAAAACCACATATCCACCAGAGAAAATGGAAGGGATAACTATGTTAATTTAAGAAAATATCACTTCGCTTGGATCTTTAGTTGAAATAAATATTAACAGCGTTTGCTATACACTCGATCAAGTATTTTTGGATAAATTTAAGTTAATAGAGGTTAAATAAACTTAAAAAAAAGTTAAATATATGCTGAATTAACCAGAGTATCGGGTTAAGTAAGTAAAATCGTGCAGGTTGCCCACTCCAGAAGATAACGCGGTTGAATTAGGTAAGTTTCGTTGTGTAAAATATAAAGATTATCATTTAGGTACGTATGGGGTTACATGGTACAGTCGCTAATGTACCCAAGGAGATGACATGGGTCTTCTTTAGTGAGTACTGTCGCTAAAGTACTCACGGAGATGACATACTGTAGGTCGTCTTAAGTGATTACTGTCGCTAAAGTACTCACAAAGATTAACATAATTCGTCCTAAGTGAGTACTGTCGCTCAAGTACTCACGGAAATGACATGGGTCGCGTTAAACAGAGAAAAAAAAACCCACAATCACTCAGGTACTCACGGAGATGACATGGTCTTGCTTGTCACAGGTGTTGTAGGGGCGGGACATGATCAGCACAGTGTGGGTGTCATTCTCATAGCCGCCCACCAACATCCAATCGCGCTGGTCATCCACTGAAGGCTCTTGATTGCCGTGTCCATGACGATCCTGTAGGTAAGCCTTGCCGGAGTGTACCCATCTGTAGGAGGAGGAGGTGGTTGAGTGAGTGGGTGAAGGGTGGGTGAGGGTGAGGAGTGGGTGAGGGCGAAGGGTGGGTGAGGTGTGAGTGGTGTGGGTGAGGGATGGGGGATGGCTGGGAGGGGGTCTTAGAGCAACACACACACACACACACACACACACACACACACACACACACACACACACACACTACATCCTTGACCACCGAAGGGTCAAGACGTACCTGGCGCTCCTCTCAGAGCAGCCAGGTCAACTGTTATGTTGGCCCATACCAACTCCCTCCCCTGAACCCTCCTCCCCACCGGAATATCAACAAGTTCACGCCAGAAGTTACTATTTCATTTAGGAAAGAAATGGAACCAGTGTTAAACAGAGGTGAACAGTGGCGAACAGTGCTTAAGTCAGTGAGAACAACTCAACAGTAACAGTGGTACCCAAGTTGACCTTTCACACAGTGAGGTCCCAGGTACCCAGTGATAACGGCCTGTGAGACCCAACTACCAGCGATGTGTTAATCCGTCTACGATAGGAAGGCCTGGAACCACACCTCACTCATATAACACCATCTGTGAGGGAATTACTACACCATGTGAGGCCCCTCATAACACCATATGTGAAGGAGTTACTACACCACGTGAGGCCCCTCATAACACCATCTGTGAGGGAATTACTACACCACGTGAGGCCCTCCTGCCTGTCTATGTGATTACTACACACACGCTGAGGCCCTCACTTACCATCTGTGAGGAGTGCACCACGTGGGGCCCTCATAACACCATCTGAGTGCCACATGTGAGCCCTCATAACTGTCTGTGAGAATTACTGCACACCGTGAGCCCTCCTGCCTGCATCTGTGAAATTACTGCACACGTGAGGCCCTCATAACACCCATCTGTGAGGGAATTACTACACCACGTGAGGCCCCTCATAACACCATCTGTGAGGGAACTACTACACCACGTGAGGTCCCTCCTAACACCATCTGGGAGGGAGTTACTACACTACGTTTTTGCTGTTCAACATCTACATTAATCTGAATGTTCACTGTATGTTCCTTTACCTTTCTCTAATGAAGGCTTTTGTTAAACCACCAATGTATGTAATAAGTCATTTATGCCCAATGTATATTTTCAGCCTTCAGGCTGCAGAACTTTTTCAATAAACCGTTAATTATTATTATTATTATTATTACACACACACACACACACTCACGAGCACACACACACACACACACACACACACACACACACACACACACACACACACACACACTACATTTGTTGACTACTCACTGAGACATAGACCAGACAAAGACAACCCGCGGCCCGAACCGTGTGTTTGTGCGGCCCGCGGAGTGATTGAGAAAGACTATTTAATGTGGCCCGCGGTTCAGGTAGATGCAGCCACTTTATGGTGGGTAAAGCAATATTTATTTAAAGTATAATCTTCACACACAATTCGTTACTGTTTCATCACCTAAGAGTAAGTAACTATGAGAACGTAACAGTGAAGTAAGTATATATAGTCAACAATATAAACATTTTAACTTGTGTGAGTTCGTCGCTGTCTGTTTGATGGATTAGCTGCTTTAGGGCAGTGAGTCACTTGGGAATTAACAAAGGTTGGGTAAGTCCAAGTGGGATCACAGGCTGTGGTAACACAGGGTTTAACTTCCAGAATAACATAAAAACACCAAAATCACACCTCAGAAACCCATAGTTGGCGAGTAATTAGCACTGAAATATAAATAATAATTTGCAAGCGTCATTACGACCACAAATTACCCTGCAATCGAATCGTATATCATAAAATTCGGAATCAGCACATGCCCACGAGTACCTATACTGCTTATTTCACCTGATGATTAAACACCCTACGCTACCTGGTGGGCTTCGGTTAGGTTAGGTTAGGTTAGGTTAGGTTAGCGTTAGGGTGGGTAATCTCCAGGTGTAATAAGCTGGGGGGCTAATCTTCAGGTGACCCATTAAATGTCTCGGAAATATTAACAAGAAACATAACTCAAAAAAATTATATGACCTTTTTAATCTCATTATTTACGAGGAATCTTTGACAGTCTGTGAAGTTGAAATAATTCACCTGAGGAGAGAGGCTCAATTCTTCCCTCTCTCTACTTCCTCTTTCACCTGCCTGTTGCTAAGGTGTGACTCCCGTTAATTATTATCTCATCAACAAAGAGGTCCCCCCGGGTTGTCATGATGATACTTACATACATACATACATACATTGTACATACATACATACATACATACGTACATGCATACATACATACATACATACATACATACATACATACATACATACATACATACGTACATACATACATACATACATACATACATACATACATACATACATACATACATACATGTACAGGTACATATGACCACAAAACTCTTACATCCTCCTCAACTAGTGAGCCACAGCGGCAGGTGACAGTACATGATACAATCACCTCATAGTGTGTTGTAACATGTTGGTGCACCGGGAAGACCAGGTTGACGATGGGCGGACTGAGGCAACGTTTATATCCAAATAGATGTATGAGACTGACGCCACAATAGCCATCACACGCGTCCATTGTCAACTAGTCTGTGGTGGTTGTATGGAGAGATCTGACGGAGGGATGGAGGAAGGGAGGGATGGATGGATAGTGAATGGGACAGTAACTGGACAGAGACAACACTCACCCAACGACGATATCTGCGCCGTCCATCCTGGGTTTGGAGGAAAGGCCAAACCCGATGTAACCAGTTGTTCTCGCTGTCACCCTGAACTCAATGTTCTCCTCTCGTGGTGTCCACTGCACCACAAAGGCTCCGTGCTCCTCCAGCCACGCCTCGTGTTCCCAGGAGCCGAAGGACGTCAGGCGGGGTGATATGAAGGAGGACGTCGCGAAGGACATCACCTGAGGCACCAGTACTAAAAGCGCTAGTACGTGAAGGAGACACACCGTGGAAGGGTTCGTCGGGAAAGGATTTAGGGAGGAGAGAGTCCGTGAAGAACTCCCGCTTGAATGTCGCAGCGTCTGCGATCGGCGGATTTCTGGTCCCCTTGTCATTGTTTTGGTTTGGGTGGCGGTGTTGTGAGTAGGTCTCGTCTGAGTAGAAAAATATCTGTTCAAGGAGAGAGGGCAGGAGGCGAGGGTGCAAGAGGAGGTTTTGTGTACAAACTCCATGACTGCAGCAGACGTGGTTAGGTTCAGGATGGGAGGGGAGGGGGGTGTTTTGCTGGTGCTATCTTCTACTGCGTCGCCTTCTGCGTGGGGACATTCTCAGCCTCGTTCAGGTGAGTAAGCAGCTGTAAGATGTCTCCTCCGTAAGCTGACTGAGGCCACTTGAGGGCTTTGTCTTCTGAAGGAGCAAATACTTCACTTCCCAATTATTTAATAGTACAGTCGTGTGGCTTCAGAACACCAGGTTATATTTCAATACCTTCACAGATTGAGGAAGTAAAGCTCCAGCTTCTACAGCCTAAACCAGCTGGAGTCTCTAAGACCAGATGTCTGAAGGCATAAACACAAGAGACGGCCTCCTGCTCGACCGCTTAATTCATAATATCTGGTAATCTGGTTCTCGACCATCAGACGTGAGCCACCGACCTTTGATCTCCGAATGCCTTTTGGTGTTCTTGTCAGACAATCATTTTTCCGCGTGTTTCATTCAAAGTCAGAGACCGGCAGAGCATCAGGAGGTGTAGGAGGAGGAGGGGGAGGACGAGGGTACGTTATGAACGCTGGAGTCAGTCTTGCCTGGCACTCCTGGCTGGCAATATTGTGGAGCCCCGCGGTTATTCCAGGACCCCGGCGTGACGTGACCCGCTTATCAGTCAGCCCTGGAAAGATAGAAGAGACTTTATTAACACAAGCGTCCGATATTGCTGGAGAGGTGACTGCTGGCAGGTACACCACAGAGGCAGGGAATGTGGGGCACTTAGTCTGAGCTACAGTAGCCGTGTTACCCAGTGTTACCGTGTTACCCTGTGTTACCGTGTTACCCTATGTTACCGTGTTACCCAGTGTTACCGTGGTACCCAGTGTTACCGTGGTACCCTGTGTCACCTTGTTACCCTATGTTACCGTGTTACCCAGTGTTACCGTGGTACCCAGTGTTACCGTGGTACCCAGTGTTACCGTGGTACCCAATGTTACCCTGTGTTGATGATGGAACTAACTGTACTGTACTGTTGTAATGACATACCATTATTATTATTATTATTATTATTATTATTATTATTATTATTAGATACAGTGTTAATTATACACTTCAATTTTAAATATAATGTATAATAAATGAAACAGAGAAATTTTAACTACTTCACATAATTACAAAATACAATTACAAAATGTATGTAATAGAAATGTAACTACTATTAAACATAATAAATGGAGTTTTAGTTAACACACTACACGTACTATTGTAATTAAAACATTTCTTTATATAAGCGCTGTAGCTGTATTATAGTTCATATGTAGTTAATATGAAACACTAAAACAGGCGATATAGGACACAGGAATTAAAAAATATATATAGTGAAAAAGTAAGTAATATGTATGTATGTATGTATGTATGTATGTATGTATGTATGTATGTATGTATGTATGTATGTATGTATGTATGTATGTATGTATGTATAATATTCTCATACAGCATCCACTTAATCCTCCTTGATTAATAATAATTCATCCTGAAGTCCGGGTTAAATTAACAAGTCATATTTGGTCATGTCAGAGTTAAACCAAAGCTTCTATTTTTTTTTATATATATATTATTAATAGATTATATTTAGCTGTGTCAAGATTATCTTTAAATAATAATACTGACTCATTCACTGACTCACAGATACTGTAGACTAACTCACTGACTCACTCATTGACTGACACTCACTCACTCACCGAGATAATTATTGGACTAAATCGTTCTAAATTTTCCCTTTTACCATGAAGAAGAATATTAGAGTTAACTATTTATGATCAAGACTCTAATAGCTAAGATGTCCCGGGTGTGGTGACTGAGTGGACACAATACTCGTATCCTGTCCTAAGAGTAATTTTGGCACCCTTTGTCGACCTAGCTGTTGATGTGTACCTGACTATATACAGTTGAGGAAGGGGAGGCAGTCCAGTGCAGTGCCAGCCATATTGTTTATTTGTGTACTCATTGATCAGAGTGCAGTGTACTTTGTTCACTCTAATGGGCCCGTCAGGCTTAAAGGACTCACGTAAAATAACGACAAAAGATGAAAATATTGAAGGAAAAAGAAGGTCAACAACAACAACAACAATAACAACTATAACAACAACAACAACAATAATAACAACAACAACAATAATAATCATAACAAAAAATAACACAATAAAACAGGGAAAAAGTACTGTACATATAATAAACTTTATAGAGATAAAGGAAATAAATTTATAACTCATAGACTAGAAGGAAGATCATTATATCCGGCTATAACCATCAGGCCGGCCAGATGATATATAAAAGATCATTATACCGCAAGGAGAAGAGGAGTACTTATAGGAGCTTTATATAATACCTGATACAGTGTTGGAGAGAGAGAGAGAGAGAGATGTGCACGCCCCCCTGGCCACTACTGTACACACAACCTCTGGGCCTCTGCTGTGATCGGTGGTTATTGAGTAGTATACAGTGTAACGTCTCTATAACGGACCAAATGGAGAGGAAAGTCCGTTATATTGAGGGTCTATTAAATATGATATACTTATTTAACGGATTATATGGAAGGAGAAGTCCGTTATATGGAGTTTTCGCTCAATTAGTTGTGGTGTTTGTTATACACACACACACACACACACACACACACACACACACACACACACACACACACATCGCCAAAGAGGTTAAACCATCGTCCTCGAAGGGCTAACGCATATTCTTCAAAAGGTTAAACCATCATCGTCCTTAAAGGGTTAAACCATCATCCTTAAAGGGTTAAATCATCGTCCTCAAAGGGTTAAAAATATCATCCTTAAAGGGTTAAACCGTCATCCTCAAAGAGTTAAACCATCATCGTCCTCAAAGGGCTAAGCCATCATCTTCAAAGCGTTAAACCGTCGTCCTCAAAGAGTTAAACCATCATCGTCCTCAAAGGGTTAAAAATATCATCCTCAAAGGGTTCAGCCATCGTCCTCAGAGGGTTAAGTGAACCAGTTATATGCCTTCTCACGTCTTCGGTAAGAGAGACGACACCAGCGGTCCGAACCTCAGGGAATGCGAACCCAAAGAACTATGAAGCCTCTTAAGGAGTCTCGTAGCGTTGATTACGTGTTCAGTGAAGACTCTCACAACTTGGCTCTCCCAAGACTCAGCGCCAGCAGTACCACAGGAATGTTAAAGAGAATGGCTGTGTAACCAACTGTGGGCTTGATCCTGTTAGCTAACTGTTGACCCAGTTACTGCCACCACAACGGCCTCGCCCTGACTTGTTAAAATGGCGAGGATGATACTACAGATGCATTTTTTGTAACCTAACCTAACCTAACCTAACCTAACCTAACCTGTACCACTGGTGAGATAAATTTTCTGTATTTACAATTGTTTTTTTACCAGACCTAAAGTCGTGTCATTGTTTACGGATGATGTTAATAGGATTAAGGAAAATGGATACAGTAAAGATCTATCAATAACGGACTGCTGAATAAAGACACGGGTATAGTAAACCCTCTTAACGTGTGTGTGTGTGTGTGTGTGTGTGTGTGTGTGTGTGTGTGTGTGTGTGTGTGTGTGTGTGTGTGTGTGTGTGTGTGTGTGTGTCTAAAGCCCGAGAAATAAACCACAGGGTAAAGAAACACACACACTGTCACACACACACACACACACACACACACACAGCCAGGTGTGTGTGTCTCCAGGTAGAGAGACGTGGGCGGACAGGTGTATGTCTCTCGCTCACCTGTGTATGTCTCTCGCTTACAGGTGTATCTCTCTTGCTCACCTGTGTATCGTCTCTCGCTTACAGGTGTATCTCTCTTGCTCACCTGTGTATGTCTCTCGCTCACCTGTGTATGTCTCTCGCTTACAGGTGTATCTCTCTTGCTCACCTGTGTATCGTCTCTCGCTCACCTGTGTTCTCTCGCTCACCTGTGTATGTCTCTCGCTTACAGGTGTATCGTCTCTCGCTCACCTGTGTTCTCTCGCTCACCTGTGTTCTCTCGCTCACCTGTGTTCTCTCGCTCACCTGTGTATCGTCTCCTGATCTACCAAGACGCTTTTAGCACAACGATCACAATGAATGATTTTTTTTGGAGGATTCAAAGCACAGCCAGAAAATAGTGTTTATTTATATAGATTTTGGCTGTGGTAGTGTGGTAGTCATGGTATGGTGTTGTAGTGTTGTGGTGGTGGTGATGGTGATTGTGTCGTGGCAGTGGTGATAGTGAACAAACAAACACACACATACACACACACACACACACACACACACACACACACACACACACACACACACACACACACACACACACACAAGATTTCTTTCATAATATGCTTTCAGGAGGAGGAAGGGGGGAGGGGGGTGAGTGGTCAAACGTGTGGAAATTACAGGCACCAAGCTGTAATTACTGTACCTGTACTTTATACCTGGCTCTCTACTTACACCGGTATTTCTCAATAAACTTTGTGAACCAGTTAAGGCTTCACCTCTTATCATAGGGTCATGACGTAGGGAATTACAGCGTTTGCCCCGGAATCTTGCGACTGGGTAAATATATCTAGACAAACTCTCTCATTCTGAACTCTACTGACGAGCTTACAGTGTATATATATGTAGTACTGTGTTTTAACCTTAAAGCATATATAATCTGTTGTGTTTTAACCTCAAAACATATATGATCTGTTGTGTTTTAACCTCAAAGCACATATATCTTGTTGTGTTTTAGCCTCAAAGCACATATATCTTGTTGTGTTTTAACCTCAAAGCACAAGTATACTGTTATGTTGTACGCCCACACTGAAGGTAATTTACGAGGGTAGGGGCGAGGGAGGCAAGAGAGACACAACAACAGCTGTATACCTCACCTAGGGAGGGACACACCTACCTAGGGAGGAAAAATGAGAGTGTCACGGCCCGTCTGTACAGCTGTCACGGCCTGTCACGCACACCCACCTTTCTCTCTCTCCCTCCCTGTCCCCTTCTTTCAATCTTTTTTTTCTGTCACTTTCCTTCATTTCCGTCATCTGTCCCTCCTCCCTCTTCTTGTATTCCCATTTGTTCCTGTTCTGTTTTTCCTTCACTCGTTCCTCTATTCCTCTCTCTTTCCTATTCTTCTGCGCCTTACCTAACAAAACATTAACCCCCGTGATGAAACTGAGTCAGGGGAATGAGTCTCCAAACTGACTTACCCTGACGGTCATCTGGTGCGGGGTTTAGTGTTTCGTCTCATTGGGGTCGATACTGCTTCACTTTGGGAGGGTATGAACTTTTGACCCTGACTGTACAATCTCTCAACACGAATGCAAAATGGATTACAATTGATATTTTGAGACTGTATCCACATTTTGTACCAGGTCAACTAATATGTCAAGGATATGTGAGGTTATGTAGTTTATGTAGTCAACCAGGTGTTTAGTGTATAAGACTATAAATGGCCAGTGAAGTCTTAACATTGATTCTTTGTGATTTCTACCTTGTGGTCTTTTTTTGTGTTACAGCTCACAAGACGAGTCAGAGGGGAGCTTTGTATTATCACAGGCTAATGGTACTGTCTAAAACTCACTTCACTATCATCACCATCACTACCACTACTTTCAGAACTACCACCACCACCACCACCATCACCACCACCACCACCACCACCACCACCACCG